GTGTTAAAGGTGCAGCTGTGTTTTCCAGATCCTAGACACACTCTTGATTGGAAAACAGCTTTTTCTCACATACATACTCAGCGTAATCACCGGTGTTGTTTTAACAGCACTATTAGATAGGATGTTTTCAACTGAGTTTCTTCTCAAAAGGAGATTTTATACTGCGATATCCTCAGGGGAGCCTCTAAGAGGCCTTCCCTCCATTGAATTCAGTCAAGGTGGAGATTAGGAACTGGAACTGGTATCTGAAGGATTATATAGATGCAGAAAAAGTGATTGAGAGGGCCTGACACCTCTAACAGCTCTTTCTGGCTGATCCATCTCAGCCTAAGCACAGCCTTCCTGCTCACTCACCCTCTGTGTGTGAGGATTCTCCGGCTCCTGCCAACCACCACTCGCTGCAGGAGGAAACAGAAAAAACAAAGTCCACAGGAGATTTCCAGACTCCATCACACCCCACACTCAACTATTTCAGTGTTACTCATAAAATATGACATTGCCTATTTTTGCTACACTTACCACTGCAATTCTTTAAGTTCGTGCCTGCACAAATATCCACCTCTTAAAGCTTTTCACGGGCAGTTTTGGGCTGAAGGAGCTTTGGCAGCTTTTATATTGTGTTTTTAAACAAGTGCTGTTTGAGAGACACTCAGCATAGCACCTAGGAGTCACTTTACCAGCAGGCACATGACTTTATGTGTGTGTCTCATTACTGGCTGCCACTGTCTCTGCATTTCCAGCTCCCAGTCTTCAGTCACATCAACACTGGAACTCAGAGAATCTGCTTGGCCTACTCAGCCCCGTTTCTGGAGCCTGACAGATATTTTCTGTTCATCTTACATACCAAAAATAGATGAAAGCTTTGTTCCAGTGCTGTTGTGAAGAGAAAAAACGAGTACAAACACTGACTAGCAACTGTCAAGGTGCACAAAAGTGATGGAAAATAAATTACATGTTTATGCTGTCAGAGTGAGTAGCTTCAAAGGCTCTGAAAGCACACAAACAAGACCTCGGCTACGGGGAGAGTGCACTAACACAGCCCCTCGTTTGACAGTTTTCTCACTAGTCAGGTAACAAGAACATGGAAGTGGGTCACACATTCCACTAACTCAGCTCAGCTCTTCAGAAGAGACTTCAGCAACAAACCATTTTCCTGTGAATTTCCAACTGTGACTCCAACCTTAGGCAGATACTAAACCTACAGTACAGTCAGGAGCTAATGTGATTATCTGTCACCTTCAAAACACAAACTGGGCTCCTGCTTTAACTCAGTTCTCTCTTTCTGACTGTCCCTTACCTACAGACTTGTCTGCCATCCCCACATCCCGGGAAGTCCAGCGGCAGAACCCACAGGCCAGGTAATAGGCTTTCTTCATGGTGGTCTTGGCCGGGTCGTCGGGGAGCGGGGCGGGGATGCTCGTGGCGCGGGTGGAGAGGGTGTGCATGCAGCAGGGGCAGTCAAAGCAGTTGGCACACCTGCAGACAACCACACAGTGCTCTGAGAAGGCTCCCAGGCTGAGGGAAAAGCTCTCAACAACCGGATCAACATTAAACCAACCGACTTTTTCCTCGAGGGAAAAAGGTCACCAGAGCAATCGGGGGAACAGGAGGGGTTCAGAGTCAACTTCAGAATGGCAACAGTGAGAAACGCCGAGGGATAATAAAAACCTCTTTGTCTTAAGAAACAAGTCATCACAAAAAAATAAAAAAAATCCATGAACAGCACCTGATAGATCATGGAAATTATTTATTCCCCAAAACAGACTCAATGGTAAAAAGCACCGATGTAATTTTTGAAGAGTTTCAGACAGACACATCAAGTGCTGACTAAGGAAGGAGCTGTTTAAAATAGGGAGCCTCGATGAAAATAAAAGCCAAAGCAACCTTACCTATTCTTTTTCAGCTTGGCTTCAGCTGAAGGCATGTTTTCCAGGCAGCTCGGGCAGTAGTGGGAGTCCACCTGAAGGAGAAGGCAGTCACATTACACGTGTTACCTGGCACACCAGACAGCACATGGCACCTGCCACATGATTCAACAGGGATTCGTGTCTGGCAATCCCTGGTGCAGCCAGGGAAGGCTTGAGGCATTTTATGGTATTCAAAATCTTAGCCTGTTTCAGCCTGATTTTGTTCTTTAATAACATGAATCAGAAGGTTTCTTAAATCAGAATGGATTGAATTACTCCATCTTGTAAGTGAGAAAAGGTCAGCCTTTAGCAGCTACCAAAATTTCAATCTGCAGCTTGAACCACAGGTTTTAACGTTATTTTCTACTTACACCTAAATTTATTCTGTCCTTGGCGTTGCACTGCTCAGATTTATGTACAATTCAGAACACTTTTAATCTGTCTGCTGTCACATCGAATTTTGTCAATTAAAACAACACCAGCAAGACTGGGGGCCCCTTCTTGAAGAGGAATTCAAACTGATTATTAAACACAGACATGCACAATGACTACACTCCTCACACCACAGTAAATCCATCATGGATGCAGCCTGGTGACAAATCTACTGTTCAGAGGCCTCAACCTTTCCTTAAAGACTCCTCTTCCGAGATCAGGGCTGCACAGTCATTCTTTCAAGGCTTTCCAAATCTATCACAGTTTCTTAGTTCAACCAGGCTTTCACAAAATCAATTCTACCGGTTTGACTATAACGGTTTGTGAAGCCACAAAGCCTCCATAGCAGAAATCACACCGTAAAATAATGTGGAAGGGTGTGTGTGTGGGGGGGTCCCTGCCCCTCCTAGGCCGGGCCCGATGGGGATGTGTGTGGGAGGGGAGTCTTGACCCTCCCGGCGGGGCCCCGCAGACGGGTAGGGAGGTCCCCGTTGCCCCAGACCGGTCCTACGGAGGTTTTGGGGGGTCCTCGTTGCCTCAGCCCTGCCCCACAGTGGTTCTGGGGGGTCCCCGCTCCCCTCGACCGGGGCTGGGGGGGCACCTCCCTCACGAGGGGGAGCCGCCCCTGTGCCCTGGCCTCGGCCAATCACAGCCCGAGCTCCGCCGACGGACAGACGGCACAGCCAATCCAAAGCGAAGCACCGCCCCACCCATCACCCACGGCGAATCGTCGCACCCCATGCAGCGTTGCGCCCACCCCCCCTAGAAGCGCCATCGACCAATAGGAAGGCAGAAAGCGAGTGAGCGGCGGGAGAGCCACCCAATCGGTACCCGCTCTGCGCGCACCGTCCCGCCCGGTCCCGCCCGGTCCCACCCGGTCCCGCCCGGTGCGCGGGCGCGGCGCTGCCGGGACGCCGTTACCTCGTGCGAGACGCACTCGAGCGAGCGGAGCTCGCTGCAGTAGCGGCAGAAGTACAGCTGCGGCAGCGGTGCCCGCAGCTCCTTCTCGCCGCGTACCAGGTACAGCACCCGCTCCGACTGCAGCAGCGACGCCATCTTGAAAGCGGGCGGGCTCCGCCGCGGCGCCGCCGCCTGACGTCAGCGCGCCTCAGCGTGACGTTAGCGCGCCGCTCTGGCCACGTGCCCGGCTGGGCGGGGCGTCCCGGGGGGACCCCGGTGCGGGGGGACCCCGGTGCGGGGGGACCCCGGT